AAGGGATACGACTAAAGCTATAATAACGGAGAAGGTGACTGACTTCATACAAGGGATTAAAAGAAAGAATGATAACTAACATGTATGCAGCTTTTACCCTGTGTCAGTGTTTTCAATTCTGATAAAAAATGGTAGGGAGTGGATATTATTATTCTACCTAGTTTGGAGTATGTTTCCATTTTACAGGTGAGGAAATGGATGCACAGACATGTTTACTAACATGTTCAGGGTAACACAGCGCATAAGTGGTGCAGCCAGGATGTGCACCCTGGCAGCCTGGCTCCAGAATCTGCGTTTGAGACCAGCACATAGGATTTGGCTCCGGGTCACTAGGGGTGCTTGATGGTGGGAATCACCCTATTGAGAAACGATGATTGGCTTACTGTAGCTTAGTGTTGGATACAGTGAGCTTAATTTGACAACGGGATATGTAAACAGAAATACGGAACTGGCTCTCAGGCAATACATATCTGTAAGTTATTAAAGTAGAGCAATGAAAGCAGTAAGACTCAAAAGTGAAGAGAAAAGAGCAAAGGGTCAAGGAATAATCAGAGTTAGAGGAATAAGAAAAGAGGAGAGTTCAGGCAGAATAGAAATTAGGAAAGAACGGTTGGCTAAAGAGGAGGAGAACCTCCCTAGCACAGTATCTTGGAAGCTGGGCAAAGCAAAGATTTTACAGAAGCCAGAAATGGCCAGCGCAGCTCAAGGAGACCTGGGAACAGTCCATTGGATTGTGGGCAAAGGTCATTGGTAGAATCAGTTCTAAAGAGAAGTACTATTTCTGCTCATTATCTATTGAAGATCTGCAATGTACTGGGCATTTCGTATGTAAATATCTGAGTTATTCCTTTAGAGCAATGCAACAAGATAGATATCATGATATGGATGAAGAAATGGAAACTCAAGGAGGTAAAGTAACTCATCTAAATTCACTCATTGATGAAGCTGAGATTTAAACTAAAGTTACTCAACTTCAAAACCATCCTTTTTCTGGATTAAGACAAAACCCCCATAAAACGAAAACAAACAAAAAACAAAACAAAAACAAACCAATGCTCTTGTAGGAGTTATAAAAGAAATGGACAATGAGGAATTGATTAGAAGTGATAATTTGCATGAATACTTTGCTGTCCTAATTTTTGTTTGGGGCCCCAAGTGTCTTTTATGAGTGGATTTGTGTCTGGGTGTGTTGACCACCATGACACATACTTTTAGAAGGTAAAAACGCTGTGTGCTAGTTCTCTCTGCTTCTCCCAGTGAATCATTCCCTGCATTAGACTCTTATTAATGCTCGGGGGCGGGGAGGTGGAGGTGAGGGTCCCTGCAGATCTAACATGGCCTTGGCCTTGCTGTGATTGCTCTGGAACTCATCGAAGTTTTTCTCCAAACAAGGACCCAGAGATCGAGTTTATGGCTGTGTTTACTGTTTTGTGTTCAGGGTTACCCAGAACATAGCATACCTAAAGCTTCACAAAGCATATTTTAAAAGTCGACCAGAGCCAAATTAGAACTGCTGTTCCAAAAGAACGATGATAAAACTCAACTTCAGAAAGCGTTCCTGACCGTGGTAAAACTTTCCTTTCTTTACAAATCTACATTTTTGCTCAGTGTACCAGAGAGATTACTCTGTTTTTATTAAACCAAACTTCATTCAACAGTGCTCTGTACCGGAGAGATTATAATCTTTGAAGAAAAAAGGCAAAGTCATTGCGTAGTTAAAAGGAAGAGCACAAAAGGCCCTTTGGCCACCAGAAATGTAAAAAGAAATGGCTAGTGAAGTTGTGATTTCCCAGAATGTTTTTTTTGTTGATCATGTAAGGATTCATCAGGAATTTCATTATAGGGAAAAGGCTGGTGAATCTCTTAAATTTATGAGTGGACATCGTGCTAGATGAAATCAGCAGTGTAGGAGACTCAGCAGGAAGGAGTCAGGATTTTAAGAAGGAAGACTTGGGAAAAATCTCTGCAGCCACTCAGGACACTGCTTGGTGTAAATCAAGACCTTGCTCCCTCAGCCTGGTGCTTCCTGCTACACTTCTGGAAACTAGCCAGTGTTGTAATCAACACCCCACTCCACTCCCCACTCTTCACTCCTCCACGGCAATATGTGCTTCTCTCAGGCAGGAAAAAGAGTAACACCTTCACCTTTCTCAATGGCGAGGTCACTCCAAATAGCATGAAGTCCTCCCTGCAGGACTGAGCATTTTAGGAAGTGTGCATGATGTCTGTGCCTTATGGGGCAATGATTGGGATTCAGAATCCTTTATTCTGCTCTCTGGGTGACCAGGCACCTGGGCTGGCCCCAACTAATCAATGGTGGCGAGGGTGACACTGTTACAACCTGGGCCCATCACCTCTGCCTTCTTGGTTCTCCCTGGAGGAACCATTTCTTCTTCTTTTGGACCCTTAAAGGCCCAAATAAATCCTGCCCTATCCTATATATTTAGAAATTTTCTACAACGTGGAAATGCTGTTTTATTGTTAGATAAGACATGTAAAATTTCTTTAGTGGAGTCTCCAAAATGAATACACATATGCTCCTTTTGTAAGAAAATTGCATTATTCTGCACTACTCAAATATTCTTCACTTTAAAAAGTATTTACCACATCTTCTCATTTCAACATTGGCCAGCGCACCCCTACCTATCCTGCAGAGCTGTGTAGAAACTTGACTCCTTGTTGGTCCTCTGATTACGCTGGTCCCCTCTGTCGTATGCCCTCATGACATTGTCCATTCCTTTCTCATGCTCACAGCCCTTGTAATAGCAGTACTCTCTCTCTCCTGCTGGCTGCGTGGGGCAAGGGACAGGGTTTCACGCACTGCTCCATCCTCAACAACCAGCACGATGTCCGGCACCTACTGGACTCTCAATAAATAATTGGGGAACATTGCCAAATGAACAACTGCAGTTTCCCTTTAATTAATGATTATCTTGAGGATTTTTAAAATTATAAACAACTTTACCAAAAATTGATATACCCATAAACTTCACAGAAACATAGAGCTATACAAATAATGCCTGTTATCTGTATAGCACTGTGCAGTTTACAGAACCTATTTTATCAATTGTATTATTTGATCCTCACAATGGCATTGTGCAGTAAGCAGGGAGGGCGTTGCTAGCCCTGTCTAAGGCAGGGGAAGCTGAAGCTCAGACACTGCCCGGCTTTCCACTGCTGTTAAGTGTTGGGCCTGTGCTACTCCATGCCACTGTAGTGCCTACTGGTCAGTAAGCCCTTCCACCAGGGTTTTTCTCATTTACTCCAAGAGATCTGACTATTCTCTTTTAAACCAATTCATTGGTAATTGGGTCGATATTCTCTCTTTCCTCCCAATCGGTTTGACCAAACCATTGGTCCAAAGAGCTCAAATCAGACGCCTAGTGACCATCGAGCCCAGAGTTTCACTCTGCTCAATGTGTATTTCCCATCCACCACATCCCTACATATGCCTTATCAATGTCAGTGTCCTTTTCTGACCCTGCACCAGTGCTTGGCCCCATGCCAGCACATCAGGGCCCTCATACACTCTTTGCTGTGGGTTCACACCAGCTATCCATCACAAAGTGAGCTAAGGGACCACCCACCACGGGAAGATCCTGTAGGAGTGTCAGCAAAAACGGACCCCTTATGACTGCATAAACGTCCGAAGGCCCTGCTGGCTGAATTTCTATTGATTAACATTGGTGTTGTCTTCACCAGCCCTGTCACTTGTCCACGCCATGTTACTATGTGCAGACATCGGTGTTACTGAAATAGAATGTCTCCTTGTTTCATTTTTGGTTCCATTTCAATGAGCAAGCAAAAGAGGGCCAAGAGATGAGTGACAAAGTGTCTCCTGGCTATTTTACTTGACAGCTGAGGTCCCAGCATAGGGAGCTGCTGAGGACTGGTATGGTCTTTGGGTATTTGGGTCGCAATCACACCAACCTTAAGACATTGCCTTATTTGTCAGTTGCTGCTTTATGCAGGGTTGGCTTGGTTAGGATGGATCAACTCCAGCCCCTTTCCATCTCTACTGAAAACTCCCCAGATACACTCCTCACTCCCCATGATGGTCTTTATATCATCTGAATATTGTAGAGTCACTGTTGCTCCATGTCCTCGTTACACAGCATTGCCGGTAATATCTTGTGTTTGCAAAGTACCTTATATTGCCGTTTTAATTAAGAGACTTGGATTGGTCTGCAATTTGCTAGCAATTTCAAGTAAAGATTAAATTAGATACAATTGTTTTTAATAATCATTAGTGTATGGATCGGGTTTAATGTATTGCACACATTTATAATTAGAACTCAGAGAATTAAATGAAACCTGCTCTCTCACAGGGTTCCATTCTGGTATGGATTAATAAGGCATAATTAAGTAAAGTTGCTTGGCCCCTAGAATGATCGGATTTGGAACACCAAGTTTGAAGAGTCTTAGTCAGTTTTGTGTTGATACCTGAGACTGGGTAATTAGTAATGAACAGAAATCCATAGGTTCACAGTTCTGGAGGTGAGGAAGTCCGGGATGGAGGGGCCCCCATCTGACAAGGGCCTTTCTGCTACATATGACAAAAGGTGGAAGGCGGAAGGGTAAAGAGAAGGCAAGATAGAGAGAGAGCAAGAAGGGGTGACCCCACTCCAGTCAGAACAAGCTCACTCCTGCAATAACAGCATAAATCCATTCATGGCCTAAGCACTTCTTAAAGGCTCCACCTCCCACTACCATCACAATGTCAATTAAATTTCAACACAAGTTTTGGAGGGGACAAATAGTCAAATCATAGCACCAACTGACACTACTTTATACTGCCTTCTAAGGACATTATTACTTCTTATGGACCGTTAAAAAAAGAAATCAATGGCAGTCGCTTTAGCTTAATCTTCCCTTCCTTCTCCCCTGTCCTGGGGAAACATGAATTAATGCCTGTAGCCATATAATGTGTGTACTGTTAGTGGGAAAGAGGAACATTGCTCCCTCTGATAACGAACCTCACATTGTTCTTGCTTTCACAGTAATAAAAGACTAGTGGCCTTAGTGCCCATGCCCAGTGACCCTCCGTTCAACACTCGAAGAGCCTATACCAGTGAAGATGAAGCCTGGAAGTCGTACTTGGAGAACCCCTTGACAGCTGCCACCAAGGCAATGATGAGCATCAATGGTGACGAGGACAGTGCTGCTGCCCTCGGCCTGCTCTACGACTACTACAAGGTAAGTCCTGCAGCCCCGCCTCCCTCCTCCTCCCGCCCGGGGCTCCCCTTGCTGGTGGGAAGAGCCAACAGGTCCACTCACCATCCTGGGTCAGGGAGCTTTATAGTGTTTTCAAACTCGATATGGAATTCAGCCTCTTCCTGTTCTCTTTGCCTTCCTGCCTTCCCATCTATGAAGCCCAGCCCCACCATCCACCCAGGGAAAGTGCTCGTTTTGGGATAATTATTTTTTGTGTCCTTTGTTCACAGGAATAAATATTTACACATTATTTTTACTTACCAACATATTACAAATACTTCCTTGCTGCTGTTTTTAACTTTATGATTTTTGGTGAATGAAGTATATTATATTGTGTAATATATCTATAATATATTATAATACATATTATAATACATATCTATAACTATATATCTATATATCTATAGATATATATAATATATCTATAACTATATCATAATTTAGTTATTGCTCAGTTGCTGAGCATTTAGGTGGCCTCTAGATTTTTCAGTTTTATAAGAAACAGAGTTTCTAGATTTTTTGGTTTTTCAGTTTTATAAGCAATATCTCGATGAACACTTTTGTGGAAGACTTCTGCAGCAATTTCAAAACCTAATTTTGTTGTAACTCTAACGGTCTCCGTTTGTTTTAATGGGCACTAAATTTTTATTTTGAAAAACTCTTAAGTAAAATAAATGTAATTCACTTACATTACAAAAAGTACCTGCCATACAGTCCTCACAAAATAGGAGTATTTCAGGAAATCAAACAAGAAACAATGGTTTGTCTCAAGCATAAAGAACTATACCTGGTATGACCTGCTCTCTTTGAATCACTGAAGTGTAAAAAATCAACAAGTATTTACTAAATGAGGAGATTTATTGTCTGCTTTGATGGTAAACACCTTTGGCTTATGCTGGGAATTGACACAAAGGTGATAATGACTGTGTTTATTTTGCTGGTTGGGCACATTGAACTCTTATTTTAGAACCTGAACTGAATCCTACCTTCCCTTCTCCCTCCATCATAGAAAAATCAGAGCTTTGGGCAAAACCACCCAGGAGGAACAATATCCCTTTTAGTAATCTTTAGTCTCAGCTTCCTGTTTCCTCCCAGCTTCCTACTTTCTATTTCCTTCCAGCAGCCTTAACTTTGCAAGCCTTGTTGTTTGCCTCCTTTCTCTCTCCTAAACTAGACTTGTCATGCTCTCCAAAGATCTCCCACCACCACCAATTCTGGCACTGTCCCCAGGCCCACTCTGCTGCCAAGTTTTCTAAAATTACTCTTTCCTTTTCCAGCTTCTTTCCCAGTAAAACACCCAGGAGAGCTCCTTCCTTGGGGAGATAAACGAAAACAAAGCTGGGCCTTATCTAAGATGCAGAGCAAGGTGTGAGTGACAGGTGCCAGGGGCTGACAGGTAGGCCCAGCCAGGGTTATTTTAAATGAGGAGATTATTAACTCAAATAGGTGCATCTCTTATCGTTAGAAAGTGCTGGAGAAATATAGGAAGTGCATTCCACTGGTACCCTTGTCAGTCCAGGCTGACTTAAGAGAGCCAGAGTTGGCAGATTTTGACAGCCCTCTTACGAAGGTGTGAAATTCCCAACACGGCTCCTGACATAGCAAGGAGGCCTTAGCTTTTGGGGACTTAGGCTCCAGATGAAATGTTGTTTTAGGGTCTAAGCTACATTTCATGTAAGTAGGGCTGTTTTCTCTACAGTGAATGGGTAACACCTGAAAAAAAAAAGTAAATCTGAAAACCAAAATAGTTTTATGGTAGGCTTTTCTTTCTTCTTTTCTGTCTGTGGTTAGGATCTATCCTTGAAACATAAGGATAAATTCTAAATGTTTTGGAGTAAAAAAATTCAGTTTATTGAGGATGGTACAGAAGCACAGAACTCATCAAATTAGACTGCTTCGTGTACTAGGCCACTCCTCGAGGGTTTGACTTTTTTATGTCTCATCCTTAGAATGAAATTGAAAAGCAATTTTCCTTCATGATAAAAAAATAGGCAAAACCTGACAGTTTTATTGTTCTTTAAAATCTACAAACACATCATTAAAGTGACCCTGATTTTAATTAATCAGGTCATTACAACTTCTTTTTGTCACTTTGATAATGTTAAATTAATATGTCAATTAATAGTTTTAATAAGGTTTTGAAGAAATATATTGATTATGTTTAGAAGAAATACATTGTTCTAATTTCTTTAAAAATAGTTTTTATTCTGTTATTGTGAAATGGATATAATTTCACATATCTGTATTTATTTGATGGCAATTTTTTTTGTATTAGTGAAAAAGAGAAGCATAATCCAAGACAAACATAATTAGTCATTTATGAAGGCAATGTATTTTATCTTCCATAGAGGTTCAGAAGACAATTAAGCATTAGTAACTATAGATAGATAATTAGCTATTAGTAAATGTCATACCTAGATTACCTTACCTCTTACACATTTACTGATATTTAAAAGGAAGTTGGAATATTGCTTTCTGTAAATATTTTGAGATGCAGGATAGGGAGCTTACATAAAACTCAAGTTGTAGCCATGTTTATCACTCTGTTGAGTTAATATTTTTCAAGACTGTGTGGACTGGTGGATTTATATGGCTCCTTTCATTTCACACAAATTTCACACATTTGCTGTATTTTTGCTTGAAACATTTTATTGTTTGTGGGAAGAGTCTTGTTTCCAAAAACCATATGTTTACATGATCATTTTGAGGCCCTTTTGAGCTCCCTGGGTGTTCACAGTTTATATATGCTGGTGTTAAAGTGATAACAAAGTTAAATGTCCTTTGAGGCTAGATCTTTTTTCTGTAGTAAAGTGAAATGTTAATGAAAAAAAGCAATTTTGGCTTTTGAGTATAGACTTTGGGAAGTTATTGTAACAATTGCTGTCACATTATTATTTAGATTTTGCAGACTTTATGCCTCTTTGGAAATGAGAATTGATTCTTTTATGTAAGACACCATTTTCCCTCTGAGGGGACAGGCATGGGTGCTGCCCAGAGAGAGGCGTCTGCGTGACACAGATAGGCACTCAAGAAAAGTGGTCCTTGTCCTTGGAAACTGGCAAAGACATATCTTTGCACAATGCATTATAAATTTCAGGGTCTTTTCACTACATGTTTTACTGTCACCATAGGATCATTGCAGTGAGGACTATCAGATTTTAAATTGTGTAGTTTAGGCAACTGAGTGGGATTTACCTAAGATCACGGGACAATCCTATATGTTTCCTAATATCCAATTCATTACGATGTCAACCATTTAAAAAAAATGCCCTTTTTTTGAACCCAGTTTAAAATGAATTTAAATTTTTAAATATACATTTGAAGATTAATATGTTGTTTACTAATTAAATAATATTTATTTTAAAAAATCCCAATGGAATCTCTCATAAGGGACTCAAACCGTAGCCTAACTCTCCATCCAGTTTAAGTTATAATACTTACCAATAGCAGCTCCAAAGTCATGTGACCTTTCCATGAATTTCAGGCACGACAGAAAAACATGAGATTTAATTAGCTACATATTTTTAAAAGCAGTTTGGCTTATTTTATCTAATTTTATTTTTCTCTTGAAAGAGCTGGGGTTTGTAATCATCTGGTTCCAGCTGTAGTGAAAATATGCTTCCCTGGCCAGTTGGTTCCTATCTGCTGCGATGACCCAGTGCTGCTGGAAACCAGTTTGTTGGTTGATTTGTTTGTCCATCCATACATTCATCCATCCATCCATCCATGCATCCAACAAATATTCCCTGTTGTCTATGACCTTCCAGCAGTGGTGGTAGATATTACAGTGGTGAATGGACACCCAAAGGCAGAAGAGACCCAGTTCAGTACCTCAGGGAGGTCACTGCAAGTTGTAGTCCAGGACAGACACTGTCCTGCAAACCTATGACCATAGTGCACAGAGGTTAGTGCTGTGCAAGGGATATGTTCTAGGAGTAGCCAGTTGACTGACAGCCTCCCAGAGAAGTCACGGGCTTTCAGAGGAAGTGATGTCTACTCTACCACAGAGCAGGGGAGGGCCTGTCAGGTGGACAGATGAGGATAGAGCATTTCAGGCAAAGGAATAGAGGATGAGAAAACATGGGGTGTAAACCCCAGGTTGCACTCAGTGGAATCCAGTAATCAGTATTGCTGCACTGGGGAGGGCGACCAGGGAAATAAGAGGTTGCAGCTGGAAGGCAGCAGCTCCCCCTGAAGAGTCTTGCTAGGCCAGGCTGGAGGCCTGGGCTCTGTTCTCCCAGAGGGGAGTCCAGGGCTAGGTGTGTGGTCTTTGCTTTTTGCAGGATAAATGAACAAGTGACCTGATAAATTCTCATAATTTGTTAAATTTTTTTAAAAATCGGCTTTTCTATTTGTCCATTTTCCAGATTTATTGAGGTATTGTTGAAAAATAGGAATTGTATGTTTTTAAGGTAAGCAACTTAATGTTTTGACATATCAGCTTTTCATTTTAAGTTTATACAAGTCTATTATAGAAAATGCAGGAAAGCTTAAAGAAGAATATGAAATGCCTGTAATCCTTTATCATAATATTTGGCATCATTTCCTCTCATACTGAAGGATTTGGAGCCTAGGCCTTGTAGATTGGAGAAATTATCTGTACGTATTATAGCAGCAGCAGCAGCAACAATAGAAAGATAAGTTGGTAGCAGAGAGTCCAGCAAGAAGTCGATTGTAATAGTCCAGATAAAAAAATGATGAAGACCTGAAGTCTGAGCGTGGTGGTGGGATTCTCTGAGTCAGCGTTTGTGAGCGTTCTCCCTAAATCAGCCACCCAAACAGGTGCTAAACAGAGACAAGCAGTATGTTCAGGAAATCATTAAACATTTGTTTGAATTAGAGCTAGCAGCTGACTTTGTGTGTGTGTGTGTGTGTGTGTGTGTGTGTGTGTGTGTGTGAGTTGGTGGGGGGAGCTCATAACTAGGAGGTAGATGGTGGATGCCTAAGATAATTCCTGGATTAGTCATGATAGGGAGTGCAGAAGAAAGGCTTTTGAGGAGAAAGATGATTATGAGTTGAGTTTGATGTGCTTGTAGGATTTCTAGGTAGGGATGTCTGATAGACAGTACTGTGGGTCCAAGACTCGAGAGGGGATTGAGTTCAGAGGTCTCAGTTTTGCTACAGTCTGCAAAGTCAAAGGTAAACACCGTTCAGAGAGGCTCAGATTGGAGCAAACTCAAAGGTTAAAACAACCACCTCATCGTATTGTACCCAGTGCTGTAGACCAAGCATAGTCGTCTGCTCAGAGCTCTCTTCAGTGACTCCTGCAACAATAGCATTCACTTCCATGCATCTTTGGGAGCTGCTAACATGTTGTAGTTTCTTCTGTTTCTTTCACACTGCCTTTTCCAGGCCATGTCTATTGATTCATTCATTCTTCCAGTAAGTATTTAAGGAGGGCCTACTACATTTCAGGCCCTTGGGACATAACCATGCACAAGGTAGACACTTGTGGAGATTGGTGTTTTATCATGGACACAGAAATTTAGATGGGACTCGTATGGTCACGAGTCCACCTAGGGAAGGCATGAGTGATGGTGGCAGGGGGCGGTGGGTTGTGGTCTAGGCAGAGAGGCCTTTGTGTGATGGCTCTGTTGTGAGAGGAGCACTGCGTGGTCATCCATACAGTGTGGCCCAAGTGTGGTAAGCAAGTCTCAGGGTGCCCATGTTGAGGCTGGAGACTTTTTGAAGGTGACGTGACTGAGAGTGATGGGAAGCATTGAAGAGTTTTGAGTAGCAGACTTGCATTTCTAATAAGACCACTCTGGCTCTTCTTAATGGATCCAGAAAGGATTTGTGGGAATTCCACAAAGGAGAGGCAAGACCAGGCAGGGGTTGACGCAGCAGCCCAGGCAGGAGACGCTGGAGGCTGGACCTGGAGGCTGGCGTCCAGGAGCAGTGGATGGATTTCAGGGACATGGGGGATTCTGGTTGGAAGGGGACAGGGTGAGGGATGCTTGGCAGTCACAGAGAAGGTGGCTGTGCCACAGCACACGGCACTTAGAGGAACCATTGGGAAGCAAAGCATCCGTGCCTGGTTCAAGGCCCTTCCTCACCTGTTCATCTCGAAGGCCACATCTGCCCTTCTGCTTCCTCATTCTGTCCTCCCCGCAAGCCTTTCTATGAGCAGCTTCCTAGGCCAGAAAGCCTTCTGCATCCACCTGCCAATTGCTACCGATGGCTCTGTTCCTCTGGGAGCTCTGTCCTTGAGGCTCCCAGCGGGCCCTGTACGCAGCTCCGTTTTACCACCTATCAGTGGGTACTGTTTTTTAATACACTATTAGGACTAACTATATTTTAGGAGAGGAGCCAAGTGCCCTCTGGTGGGATGGGGTGGCAGTGTGAGGAAGCTCTGGCTCAGAGCTGGAAGACAGGGTCTTCTCCTTAGAAACTCACTTCCTCCTTGTCACCTTTCAAAAAATCATGGTACAATACATAACATAAAATTTACCACTTTTTTTTTTTTTTTTTTGAGACAGAGTCTCACTCTGTTGCCCAGGCTAGAGTGAGTACCGTGGCATCAGCCTAGCTCATAGCAACCTCAAACCTCAAGCAATCCTGCTACCTCAGCCTCCAGAGTAGCTGGGACTACAGGCATGTGCCACCGTGCCCGGCTAATTTTTTCTATATATATTAGTTGGCCAATTAATTTCTTTCTATTTATAGTAGAGACAGGGTCTCGCTCTTGCTCAGGCTGGTTTCGAACTCCTGACCTTGAGCAATCCACCCCCCTGGACCTCCCAGAGTGCTAGGATTACAGGCCTGAGCCACCGCGCCCAGCCTAAAATTTACCACTTTAACCATTTATATGTGTACAGTTCTGTGGCATTACATATATTCACATTACTGTGCAACCATCACCACCATCCACCTCCAGAACGTCTTCATTTTCTCAAACAGAAACCCATTAAATCATAGCTTCCTTTCCCCCCTCCTCCCAGCCCCTGGAATCTATATCCTACCTCTGTCTCTATGAACTTGACTATTCTGGGTAACTTATGTCAGTGGAATCATACAATATTTGTCCTTTTGTGTCTGGCTCATTTTCTTTGGCATACTGTCTTCAAAGTCCACACATATTACAGCGTGTATCAGAATTTCACTCCCTTGTAAGGCTAAGTAATACTCCATTGTATGGCTAGGCCACGTTTTGCTCATCCACTCACCTGTTGATGGATGCTTGGGTTATTTCTTCCTTTGGGCTATTGTCAATTATACTGCAATGAACATGTGTTTAGTGGATATTGAAATTTTATGTTTATCTGTCATCTTCAACATATGATGGGAACTATGTTTTATTTACCTCATTTCTGTCTGGCACTTAGCAATGCCTGGTGTATTGTAGACTCTCAAAGTTGACATGAACGAAGGACTTACAATTGATTTATTTATTTATTTTTTTTTTTTGAGACAGAGTCTCGCTTTCTTGCCTAGGCTAGAGTGAGTGCCGTGGCGTCAGCCCAGCTCACAGCAACCTCAAACTCCTGGGCTCAAGCAATCCTTCTGCCTCAGCCTCCCGAGTCGCTGGGACTACAGGCACGAGCCACCATGCCCGGCTGATTTTTTATATATATATGTATTAGTTGGCCAATTAATTTCTTTATATTTTTATAGTAGAGACGGGGTCTCGCTCAGGCTGATTTTGAACTCCTGACCTTGAGCAATCCGCCCGCCTCGGCCTCCCAGAGTGCTAGGATTACAAGCGTGAGCCACCGCGCCCGGCCTGATTTATTTTTATTTAACAAATATAAAGACACTTTAAGTGCTTTACAAATGTGAACTCATTTAATTTTACTGAAACCTTTTGAAATGTGGGGCTATCATGATGCCATTTTACAGCCGAGGAAAGTGGGACAGAGTTTAGGGAGTGGCAGAGCTGAGGTGTGAACCCGGCAAGCAGGCTGTAGGTCTGGACGCAGCCACCTCGGTCTGTCCCTGCCTAGCCCAGCCGTCCGGGCTTGTGTGCACAGGGCAGTGGAAGCCATAGGAGTTGCTAGAGTCCAGGAGAGGGATGCTTCTCATGAAAGTGCTTTCAGATCAAAACAGTGAAGGCTGCCTTTTGGGTGTAAAGGAGTTTGGCTAGAAGGAAAATATTTACATTTAGCAAAAAACCAAAAACAAACAAAGAATCCAATCAAACAAACAAATCCGAGCCTCCTTCTTCATGTGTTTGAAAACCATGGCAGCGTGAAGGATCTGTGATGCAGGAGGGCGATTAGATCATGGTCTGAAACACAGCCTGTGGGGGTGTCCCTTCTCGCAGTAATCTTCCAGGTAATATGTTGCATTGTGGTTGCTAAGACAATAATGAAAGTGTACTGGAGAAAACACCGTGGAAGCAAGTCCCCAAGCAGTGCAGGGAGGGGGTGACAGGTGGTGCTGGTGTACTCGATGCTTGTCCCCCACTGCCGTGCAGCTCTGTGCCTAACCCCCCACCCATGTCAGCACTGGAGTCCCTCATCAGAGTGGAGGGGCAGTCCCTGTTCCTTAACATGACACCTGCTGTAACTCCACGATGCTTCTGTCTGCTCAGAAGCACCATGTGCAGATTCACCCCCACACATCGCTCCCCTCCCCTCACCCTCTCCCAAGGTGGGGAGAGCATGGGAGGGGCTTGGGTGCAGGAGATATCACCCAGGTCAGTAGTGAGCAGCTGAATCCTGTCTGTTGTGGCCCTACGTTTGTCACCATCCCTTTGCCTCTGGCTCCATGGTCACTGTCATTCAGGCTACTCACCTTTGACCATCTCCTAGTGATAGCAAATTTCCCACCTTTTCCTGGAGAACATTCCATTTTGGTTTCTTTGCTTATGTTGCTGTCTAGTTCTGAGCATGGTCACAGTTGCATCTATGTAAGTCTGACTGATGGTTGGTGATGTTCCAGGTTCCTCGAGACAAGAGGCTGCTGTCTGTAAGCAAAGCAAGTGACAGCCAAGAAGACCAGGATAAAAGGTATGGTGTAGGTAAAGGAATATGCCCAGCCCCTAAAAGAACTCTTTGTCTGTGTTTTTTAACAGGGAGAGCAAATTGCATGTTTTGGCTGTGCCTCCACGTGGTCGTCAGCAGGCTGTTCAGACACCCTCTTCCGAGGAGGCTGACAATGCTGAGTTAGAGGAGATAGGCTGGCAAGACGGCCTGGGATTGCTGGGATTGACTTTTCTGATCAACCCCAGGGCTTTATAGCTGCAATCAGGCCCTTGTAGGAGTGAGACACTTGAAAGATTGCTTTTGATCAGGGGGAAGGGAGGGAGGTTGGGCTGTTTCCCAGCTGAGGGAGACAGCTGGTCGAGGGCTGTGAGCACTGCAGAGGTGCAGGGCAGGAAGGATGGCAGGAGATCATTGTGTAAGAACCAGGTGAAAAGCAAGACATAGATAAATTAGGATTAAAAAAGAAAAAAAAAAACAGCTTTATTTCTGCTGAAGCCAATTGGAGAATGTAACTTGGAATCTGCAGCTTGTAACATTTCAGTCCTGACTTAGGTAAGTCCCCCCATTCAGTCCCAGGGAGGACTTTGCACCGTTTGTGGCACAGCAAGGGTGACAAGAGAGTGGGTCTCCTGCTTTTGGCCAGGGTGATCTAGACGAAAAGAGGGGACCAGAAGGTTCTAAGCCACCCTATTCAGCTACTTCTCCTAAACTCACCCATCAGTAAATGTCTTCCTCTGCAGTAGGGTGGAGAGAAGCCAAGGTGTTTTTCTGTTGGAGGGTCTGTCCAGAGAAATAAAACTCCCTGCTAGCACAAACATTAGTCAGAATCTTACCTGGCCTTGATAGGAACTGCTTATGACATTATGATCTTGTTCTGTGACCCGCAGCGGGGGACACTCTTCTAACCAGCAGCCCTGCGCTGTGCAGCACCTCCAGGGTACAGCCCCAGCAGAAGATTAAGGTTACCTGCATCTGATTCACTGTTCCATTAGGGATCTTCTGAAGCTCCACGCTGCCCTGGGGTCCTGGAATCTCACTGGCAGGAGTAATGACAGGGAGGAAGAGGCTGACACTCTTTAGGTCTTATAAACTTTTCCTCCATCCAGCCAGTTTTATTGAGTTAAGCTTGTGCTGTCTGCTAAATCCTATACCCATAATTATAGTGGGTTCAGGGCAAAATGAGTCTAAGCTCTGTGGTCTGTCTATGGCATACATCATAGACAAGAGAGGCCATGTTTTGTTCAAGCATCTTTTAAAGCAACATTATAAAATGACAGTTGCTTATTGTGTTTTAATGGTTATTTTTGTGAGTTCCATAGAGTACCTTTAAAAAAACTGACAGTGAAGTATAAACTAAACTACCTTGTACAGACTAATTATGACTTGGACTTCCCATTGAATATAATCTGGAAGAATGTCATTTTGATCTGCAGTGTATTCATGAATTAAGGTGCTGTGTGCTAGCATGATATGACGATTGTTTACATACAGAAGTTGCAACTTGGAAAAATAACAGAACCAATGACATAATCCAAATTTTAAAAAAATCTTATTTAATACACCATTATTATTATTATTGCATTTTTCTTTTATTTTATATTTGGTTCAATTTTAAATTTTATTATAGATAAGTCAGTATCTCACAATAATTCTTACTTTTTTCTAATTATCCATTTTTGAATGTCTTTGTGAAGTTCTCTGGCATTAGCTTCTAAAGCTAATATTGTTTTACAAAGGAATAGTTGCACATTTTAGGGTGGTTCTGAATCTGGTATTTTCTGGTGATATGATAATAACAATTTGACTAGATTTAAACAATCTTGCTTATTTATTTGTTTATAAGAATACCAAAAAATATTTTGACATGTGTTCTTTGTTTAGAATTCATATATTTTGCATGAGTTAAAGAATTAAGAAATTTGGCTCAGCCAAATGTAGTGGTTCATGCTTATAATCCCAACATTTTGGGAGGCCAAGGCAGGATGATTGCTTGAGGCCAGGGGTTCTAGACATACCTGGGCAACATAGTCAGACCCTGTCTCTACAAAAAATTTAAAATTTAGCTGCATGTGGTGGCTTGTGCCTGTGGTCCTAGCTATTTGGGAAGGCTGGGGCAGGAGCATCACCTGAGCCCAGGAATTTGAGGCTGCAGTGAGCTATCATTGTAGCACTGCAATCCAGCCTGAGTGACAGAGCAATACCCTGTCTATAAAAAATGAATAAATGAAAAAAGAAATTTGACCCCAAATGGACTCTAACTATAGAGAAGTTGGTTAACTTTGAATATTTTGGCAACATTATCCACAAATATTAATGGTTGTTCCTCCACAAAAAGGTCTGGGTGAAATGAGTTTCGGAAATCCTGGATTTCGATTTAACAAGTAGAGGAATGTTGGAGGACCTCTACTGTATTCACGATGTTTGTGATCCACTAGGGGTGGTCTCGTTATGGCAATTTTTTTTGTTTGTTTTTAATACTGATTTTATCATGGACTCTTTTTTTCTTTGAAGACTATCTATTAACATTCCATGCAATGTTCTAAACCAGCGGTCCCTAGCCTTTTTGGCACCAGGGACCAGTTTCATGGAAGACAATTTTTCAGGTGGTGATGTCAGCGATGGGGAGTGGCTGTAAATACAGATGAAGCTTTCCTCTCTTGCCCTACACTCACCTCTCGCTGTGCGCCCCCCCTTTCCTAAATGTCATGAAAGACAATATTTTCACAGACAGGGGGGTGGGGGGAAGCTCCAGTGGTGATGAGCAGTGGGGAGTGGCTGTCAACACAGATGAGCCTTCCCTTGCTGGCTGCTGCTCACCTCCTGCTGTTCCTAAATTTCATAGAAGACAATTTTTCAGGGTGGGTGGATTTCAGGGGGGCCCACAGTAAACAATGGGGTTTAGGAAATGTGAATGGAAATGTTTAGCTAATGTGAATGGGTGGTCTGGGTTTTGCCATCCTCCAGCTATCTAGATTCATATTAAACATGATTTTTAAATTTGTACTGTATCTTACATACAGGTTTGCTCCACTGATTTAACCATGAAAACAGGTCATTACATAAAGTCAGAAAGTTTACAAACTTCCTTAGAGGACTATCTTCTAGAATTATTTCTACAGATCTGTGACAGACTCAGAAGTTTAGATATTTTTTCTGTTGGCTTTGTTCATGTAGAGCCATTCTTTTCTCAAGCTTTACTTTGAAGTTTCATTTGAAAAATCAAAGGTAAAATTATCAAGTCCTGCTTGATAGTTTGGCAAGATCAGAGGGTCATAGACTTCCTTCTTTACAGAGAGGAACCAGAGAGCCTAATTTTTGGACGAATCAATTTTATTTGAATGTTTGCCTCAATGAGAGATGCTAGTCAGCCCAAGAAAGCACATTCTAGATAAAAAAAAAACAAAACCAAACAAAAAAACCCAGACATCTGAGATGAGGATCCATGTAAAACATGTATTTTCTCTCCATAGTAGTCAGAATAATCCATAAGTGAGGGGTGACCCTCAAATTTTACTGACCTGAAAGGCTATGCTAGAAAAATCACTTTCCTGTCAACAACACTCTCCTGTTAATGAGTTCCTCTTTGCCTATGCTCTATCCCAGAATTCTTTAGTATAAATGAAACTATTTCATCCTAGTCTGGCAAGAGTTAATTTTCTACGCACTCTTCTTTCTCTCCTTACCAGCCAGGAGGTCTGAGATCTGAGATCTTGTTTTACCATAAGCCCAGCTACACTACTCCCTTAAGCCCCAAAAGGAATTCAGTGCTAAGGATATCAGTGAGCTCATGTTATTTCTCAATTTGGCAAAACTATTTTAATGATAGACTCTGATTATTTTATTTTTCCTTTAAAGAGTTTAGCCCATAGAATGATGAAAATTATCCTCCCTACACCTCCCTCTTTCAAATTACCACATTTGTCATGCTCTTTTTTTTTTTTTTGTATTTAAAAATTTTTTCTTTTGAAAGTTTTCAAACATATACGGAAGTACAGAGAATAGTAAAGGAACGCCCAAATAACCTATCCCATTCTGCAGTTGAGCAATAATAAATTTTTGTCACACCTGCTTGATATCAACTGTTTCTCTTTCCTTTTCTTCTTTAATTTTTAAAATTTATTTATTTATTCATTTATTCTTTTATTTATTTTTGAGACAGGGTCTTGCTCTATCACCAGGGCTAGAGTGCAGTAGCATCACCATAGCTCACTGCAACCTTAACCTCCCGGACTTGGGCCATCCTCCTGCCTCATCCTCCTGAGTAGCTGGGACTACAGGCAGCTGCCACTATGCCTGGCTAATATTTCTAATTTTTGTACAGACGAGGGTCTTGCTCTTACTCAGGCTGGTCTTAAACTCCTGGCCTTAAGCAATCTTCCCATCTTGGCTTCCCAGAGTGCTAGGATTACAGGCATAAACCACCATGCCCAGCCTTCTCTTTCCCTTTCTTTCTTTTTTAAAAATCGCAGTAGTATTTAAAATAAATCCCTGTCATTATGTCAAGTCACCTCTAACTACTTCTGATTTGTATCTCTAAAAAAGGACTTTTTATTATATAAGCTCAAAATCGTTATCACCCCTAACTAAATGAACAATACTTCCTTAATACCACCTAACTCCCAGTCCCTATTTAATTGCCTCCAAAATCCCATTACTTCATAAATGCCTCTTTGGCTTGTTCAACTTAGGATCCATACAGGATCTACTCATTATATTTGATTGTTATGACTTTTGAATCTCTTTTAATCTAGAACAATCCTCCCACCCTTCCTCCTTTTTTCATGCCTTTGATTTGTTGACAAATTTAGGTCAGGAAGGTACGCTACATTCTGATTGCTTCTTTTTCATGTTGTTTAAGTCACTCTGTCAGCTCCTGTATTTCTTGAGAGCTGAAAGTGAGATCTAAAGGTTTGATTAGATTTAGTGTCAATAATTTCTTTTTTTGACAATAAAAATAAAATTTGCAGTGGAGCCAAGTACTTCACATTGCAGTTGTCCTTCTTGTAGTGGCGCAAAGATCCACTGCATTCCACTGCGAGGTTAGCCATCACCCTTTCCCCTAATGGCATGAGCATCCACTGATGACCGTATGCATTGGCTATTTTATTAGAAGTTGCAAAAACGGTGATTTTTCTAATTCTGTCCCGTTACTGGGGGTGGGGTGGGGTTGGGTTTGAACACACAGAAACTGCCTTGGCACCGGTGAAGCCCAGAGCAATCTGAGTGGAGGAGAAAACCGAGTGCAGGTCCTAAAGACTGTTCCGGTGAACCTTTCCCTGAATCAAGACCACCTGGAGAACTCCAAGCGGGAACAGTACGGCGCCGGCGTCCCCGACAGTCCGGCCATCATCCCGGTGTCCGGCATCACGGTGGTGAAGGCTGAAGACTTCACGCCGGTCTTCATGGCGCCGCCCATGCACTACCCGCGGGGAGAAGGAGAGGAGCAGCGAGTGGTCATCTTCGAGCAGACGCAGTACGACGTGCCCTCCATGGCGGCGCACAGCGCCTTCCTCAAGGACGACCAGCGCAGCACGCCCGACAGCACCTACAGCGAGGGCTTCAAGGACGCGGCCGCTGAGGTGAGTCCCCGAGGCCCTGCCGCGGCACGGGAGCCCACATCCAGAGCCCCTGGCTGGCTTCGGTTTTTTCTATTTCCTTTTTAAGTGGGATCAGTGAACTAAACTGTGAATTTTAACTTTTTTTTTTTTTTAAATGTGTTTGTTGGTAATCTGGTATTCTTTCTTTCTAAACAGGTATTGATAAACCTGCGTGTCTGTAAGTGTGTGGAGGAATATTTCTATTTTTCTTGAATCTTAGATGACAGATTCTTTTAGTTTTAAAATTAAATACTTACGAGGAATTACGAGATGTTTGTGTGGAAACTTCTGGCTGCATAAAGTTTTTACCTTGGCCTACTCTAGTTTGGAAACTTCCAAATGGTAGGGTGCTAAAGATGGTGCTTTTTCATTCTTCTTCTTCTTTTTTTTTTTTTTTAAACAGTAATAAGTCTTTAAAACCTCTTCTGATTGAATAGTCAAGAAGGAGAATTTGTGTTAATACTCAAGTGTGTGTATGTGTGTATAGTTTCTACCTTGCAAACAGAAACTATATATTCTTCTCAGGTGCCCATAGACCTTACAGAAGCAATTATCTTTGCTTGCTTGTTTGTTTTCAGTTCAAAAATTCTACAGTGCACAGTGGAGAAATTTGGTAATTGTATATAGTTGTCTAGCTAATGTCAGAATCAAGATACAGAACGTTTCCTCATCCTAAAAGTTTCCTTGAAGACCCTTACACTCAAGTGTTCCTTTCTCCCATTGTTCTTGGCAAGCACTAATCTGCCTTCTGTCGCTATAGTTTTGCCTTTTCTAAAATTTCATACAAATGGAATGATAGAGTATGTAGTCACCTATGTTGTCTTCTTTTGCTTAGCATATTTTTGAGATTCATTTATGTTGTTGCTTGTATTAATAGTTTGACTTTTAAAATTGCTGAGTAGTATTCCATAGTAAGTGTGTATTGCAATTTATCTATTCACCGGTTATGGACATTTGATTGTCTCCAGTTTTGGCTATTGTTAATAAGGCTGCTGTGTATATAAACATTTATGTATATGTTTTAATGTGGACTTATGTTTTCATGGCTCTTGGGTGGGATACTTAAGGCTGGGATTGCTGCCCCATGTGCTCACTCTATGCTTAACTTTATAAGGTACTACTACTATACAGTGCTTCAAAGTGGCTGTACCATTTTCGCTCCTACCAGCAATGTTTCAGGATTTCCTGTTTTCCACATTTTTGCCACGACTTGGTATTTTCAGTCTTTCTTTTTTTTATTTTTTATTTTCAGTCTTTCTAACTTTAGCTACTGTAGTGCATGTGTGGTGGTGTCTCATTGTGGTTTGAATTTGCATTTCTCTGTGTGTAGTGACGTTGAACATCATTTCCCGTACTGATTTGACCCTACCTATAACTTCTTTTGTGAAGTGTCTATTCAAATCATCTGCCCAATTTTTAAATTGAGTTGCTTGTCTTCTTTTTATTAAGTTATAAGAGTTCTTTCTATAATGTAAATGTATCAGTTACATATTTTTTTTGAGACAGAGTCTCACTCTGTTGCCCAGGCTAGGGTGCCGTGGCATCAGCCTAGCTCACAGCAACCTTACACTCCTGGGCTCAAGCAATCCTTATGCCTCAACCTCCCGAGTAGCTGGGACTACAGGCATGTGCCACCATGCCTGGCTAATTTTTTCTATATATTTTTAGTTGTCGAGCTAATTTCTTTCTATTTTTGGTAGAGACGGCGTCTCGCTCTTGCTCAGGCTGGTTTTGAACTCCTGACCTTGAGCGATCCTCTTGCCTCGGCCTCCCAGAGTGCTAGGATTACAGGCATGAGCCACTGCGCCCGGCCTCAGCACCATTTGTTGAGAAGATGATCTTGTGTCCATTTAATTGCCTTGGGGTCTTTGTAGAATAGCGCTTGATGATACATTTGTGGGTCCTCCCTCCAAATTTTGACCCAGAATATATAATGTGTATTTTTATTAGGCTCAGGTCAGTTTCTTCAGCATTTAGGGCCATGCCTCCGCATTGGAGATGTTGGTCATTGGCTCCCCATTTCTCAGCCCACCTAGAAGAATAAATGACAATAGCAAAGGGGAGAATGTGTGGTTTCTAATTTTTTAAAGAGGAGCGATTGTGGTAGCAGAACAATACCTTCGTCTACTGCCTGTTTAGTTGCCCTTGGGACAAATGCAGCTACCTGAAGTTAAGATTTCATGTCTAAATAATAATATTTAAAATATATATATATATTTGGTGAGCACTTACTATGTGGTGGGTATCATTCTAAGTGACATATATACTCATTTAACCTTCATAAAAGCCCTATGTGATACATACTGTTATTGTCATCTCTGTTTTGTAAATGAGGAAACTGGGGCACAAAAAGCATAAGTGTGCTCACGGTCATTATGCAATATGTGGAGAGATGGGACTCAACCCAAGCTGTCTGGCCACAGGACCTAGGTCTTTAACCATTACCTGTGCATTCTCAGAGAAGACTGTGGGCCTTCCTTCCAATTCTCAGTAGTTCCATTGCTTAAGACAGTGACTCACTCAAAGCTTTTTTTTTAAAAAAAATCTGAGTGTCCTTTGTTCATTCCCTTAGATATTATCTCATCTTTCAGGTGTTAGGCATTGGGAGAACAGGCACAAAAGGTTGGTAAACAGGGACTAGCTCTCTGCAGAGTGGCAGAGAGCAGCTCTTGTATACCAGGGCATACAAGTTGCACTAGCAGCCCTGCCACTCCTGTCATTGGTCATTTCTGGTGTCTGCTGTATTCTTTTAAATCAGGAAGTGACCAGAGCAAGACAGGATATAAGTTCTTTGCCCGTAAGAGGCTGTGTATATTTCTTGGGTTCTGGTAGCTTTGCAATCAAACTTTCAACGTCCTTGGAATAAAAATAATTTTAAAAATTCTTAAAATTATCTTCCTTAGCTTCCTGTGTCATATTGCTTAAGGTAGTTAACAAAGTTACTGAGTGAAGGATCTTGTAGCGTCTTTGGTATTTTTTTTTTTTTTTTACCATGGTTGAAGTCTCAGCATTTGGTAATTGTTGAATGTTTGATTTGCTCTCAAGTAGTCAGGGGTGCTTCTGTAGGAAAAGCAAATAATTGCAGCTATCACTCCATAATCCCATGTGAGGGACATGCTTTTTCGCTGAAAGATTGCCACTGATGTAAATATTTCTCACACCATGTAGAAATATTCCATTAGTCACAGAAGAGTGTGTGGACATGGTCCAATGTCAACGGAACCATGATGCTATTTGGGGGATGTGTTATCAGTTGTGTTTGTATTGTAGATAAAGAGCCTTGTGAAAGGAAGCTATTGTATTTTGGGCTTTATTTTGAAGTAGATGAGAAAGTAAAGAAACTTACCAGAAACTAAATGTGAGGACTATTCCCACTGACTTAGGTTGAGCTGCTCGCCTTGTCTTGGAAGTCGGTGTTTACATGGGATGTTGCATTCCAGCCAGATGTAAAAGAAACTGAAATGATCTTCTATGATCTTTAGCCATTTCATTGCCGACTGGTTATAAGAATAAGTGCTTCCAGAGTCATTTCACCAAGAAAATTTCGTGAAGGAAAATTTATCTAAACTCTAGTACTCCTTTTAGGTAAACTATTAAGATGTCTAGGACTCTTGTTGAATAAGCAAATTTCATTTGCCATTTAAGACCAATTCTTCTGTGTGTGTGTGTGTGTGTATGTGTGTGTGTGGTGGTGACAGCAAAAAAGGGAGCAGGTTGCTTTGACTCAGGCTGGGGATTTTTAAAAGACAGTGGTAGCATTAAAAAGTGCTTTAATGGATTAATTTTAAATAATTTGATATATGTTTTATTCTACATCTTTTCTGTAATAATGTTTGGCAAATATCTGTTGGTTTATACGAGTATTAGGTATTATGGTAGAAGTGAGAGTAGAGGGCAGAGAGAAATCAGGACATGCCCTGAATTCTGCACTCTAGAAGCTTATAATCTGTACCTGTGAAGAAAAATAATAATAGCTGTTTTCCCGTTTTACAGATGAAGAGGCAGAGGTTCAGAGAGGTTAAGAAACTTGCTAAAGGTCACACAGCTAATAAGAACAGAGTATAGTTGATAAATCAGAGTGGTATTTAAGACCAAAAATATATTTAGGAAATGTTTAAAACTTAAGAGATGGGAGAGATTTTATTTAAAAATCATATAGATATAGATATAGTTATAATAAGAAATTAAAGTGGAAAGAAGAATTTGCTTATTCAGTACTACAATTTTGGGTCAGTTACTTAACCATAGTTTCTGATGTAAGAATAAAGGAAACTATGATCGCAGTGATTTAATACAAGTTTATTTCTTGCTAATGAAAGTTCTGATGTGGATATGCAACGAGAACTCTATTCCAATCAGTGACTCAGGAATCCAGGGTTCCTCCATCCTGTGACATTACTATCTCTACATGTGGCTTCCAGTGTCACCCTAACAGGGGAAGAGACATCACGGAGATGATATGCTGACTTGTAAATACTTTGATCTAGAAGTGGCCCATAGCACCTCAGCTAACATTTCATTGGCTGGAACTAGTCACATGATCCATCTAACCGTAAGAGGGTGGAGAAGTTTAGTCCTCCTATGTGCTCAGGAATTGAGAAGAACTATGTATAAATGAGCATCAGGTAGCTCTACCATGTATTTCATAATTTAACTCCAGGCATGTTATTTGTAGAATTAACATAGTTTGCAGAGAATCTTGAAATGAAAACAAAGAATGATTATTTGCCATTATCCAATAGATGTGTAGTAGTCCATTGACTTTACATTCATCAGTAGCCTGAAACTGAAAGTGATCCTGGATCTAAACCCTTTCCAACATGGTTGATTGATAACTGGTAGTCCATTCTTCCATATACATTTAAAGAATAAAATCTTTAAAGTGTTGAGTTATCTACTAAAATGGAACATGGCCTCAGGGCATTAATGTACACAATTTTATTATGTTTATCTTAAACATACGATGTAGTGGACATAGTACCACCAAATGTCTGTCACTTCATTAATGTGTTTTTTGGCATCAAGCAAAACTTTGAAAAATCCCCAGCATATACATTTTATGCTTTAGGAACATTTAGGTTTTTTTATGTGTAGACAATTTTGATAATATTAGATGGCCCACTATTCAGATTCATAGTGATCATTTACCCACTTCATGTATAGATGTTTATGAAAGTCCCAGTTCTGTTAAAGCTGTTATTCAACTTTGCTGCAGCATGTGATACTGCTGATCACTCTTCCCTCTTCCAGATGCTCTTGGCTTCATGTCTGTAGTTATCATCTATGTCCTAAAGACATCTCCACTTCTTTCTCCAGTCCAGCGCGCTCCTCTGAGTTCTGAACCTTTATATCCAATGGCCTTTCCACTTATCCAAAATCTAACTTACAGCCTTCCCTTGTGTTCTCCACCTTAATAAGTGGTGCTGCTACCATTCTGGTTGCTTGAGCAACCAGAATTTCTTCTTGACATTCTACTCTGCCCTCACTCCATCTAATTAATTGTCAGTTCAATCAGTTTTACATTCTAAGATCTCTGGAATCCATCCATTTTTCTCCATTGTTCTTCCACAATATCCACACTAGCATTATCTCTGGCCTATAATACTGCTATATCTGCTTTTACGTACTGTGACTGCAATGGTCTTTTTGAAATGCAAATTTGATCATGTCATCACTCACTTTTTTCCCACTGCTCTAAGATCAGGGTCTAAATCTTTCACAGGTTCACAAGGCACTGCAGAGTCTGCTTCTGAAGTGCCTCTCCCACCTCTTCCCCCGTTGTGCTTTGTTTGCTCTGGGCTCCAATCAATCTGTGAACCTGTTATCCTCTCTCCTGACCCAGGACCTTCATGCACGGTGGTCCATGCCATGTTCTAGAACTGAGCTGTGCAATACCATAGCCACTAGCCACATGTGATTATTCAAAGGAAATAAAATTAGAAATTCAGTTCTTAGTCCCACTAACTACATTTTAAGTGTATATCTAACTAGAGGCTACCATATTGGATAGTGAAGATATAGAACATTTCCATCATCCTACAAAGGTATATTGGATAGTGTTATTCTAGAATATTCTTTTCCTACCTTCCTCCTATGTGACTTCCTTTTCTTCCTCCTATGTGACTTCCTTAGGGAAGCCCTCTTTATTCTCTTCCTCCACTTCTACTAGAGTCAGTTTTCTTTGTGCCTAAGTCCACCAGCCAAGGACCGTCAGGAACACATCTGCAATCAAAGCTACACTTACTTGGCCTGCCTCAGCAGGGGACCCTTAGGAGCATCTCAGTCAGGGACAGATGGGAGGAGCTCTGCATGGTGTTTGGTCTTGTGCTGGATGAGTCTAAGGAGGGATTATGGAAGTGACAACCATTTCTGGATTGGATACTGCCAAAATGTAGGGGTACCCAGAAACTGGGTATCTCAGTAATCATTGGAGATGGGATGAACAACGTGGGGCTGAGGATGTCTTTGTAAAGAAAACTACAGTCACTCAGAAGGAGGGATATTATGCACTTCTGTAGCTGTGTTACTATCTTGCTGGGCTCTGTTGGAAGCACTGCTTACCTTCTGTTGGCCTTGTCTGTATTCCTCTGGAAACACTGTGCTCTTAGGAATGTCAAGACTGATTGCCCCTGGTGCAAATTTTCACCTTCTCATAGAAAGTGAATGTGATGTGCTCTCATGGAACTCTGTCACTCTTCTTCAGAGTGCTTGCACACAGTTTGTATTTTTTTTGAATGAATAATTGTTTGATTAATGTTTTCTCCCACTAGACCAGAAGCTTCATGAGAGCAGGGACTTCTTTTTGTTCACCATTATATCCGTAGCAACTAGCACAGTGCCTGATATAAAGTAGATGTCTAGTAAATATTTATTGAAAGAGTAAATAAATGAATGATAGAACCTAAAAAATTAGTGGCTGGTTAAATACATGAAATTTTACTTAACTATATATGATTTCCCCACAGTTAAAGAATCCTTGTCTTTTTGCAGTAGATGCTTAGCAGATGTTTCCTCTCCCTCATCCAAGAGAAAAACTAGAATTCCAATATTCAGGATTTAAATATATTTACTATTGCCTGATGTCTAAGGTCCTTTAAGGGTGACCTATTGAATTTGTGTCATCATAACTTCTTTACTATCATTTTTTTCTGATTCCAAATTTATAGATGTGCTATATCAAATCACGGTGATGTTGGTTGCCTGATTGCTTTTTCGCACCCTATAAATTATATTAAAAGCTGTCCAGGCAGCTGTGGATACTTGATAACTGTAACCAGAATGGCCCACACATTTGGGTTCCAATTCTTAATACTAAGTCATTTAGGGCCACATAACCCACCAATGTAATCAGGTCTCATCTAAAGGATTGCAATGCTTTCTATGTGAACTATCTAATTTGTTAAAATTACAAAGATAACAGAACAGAATTAAAGAAAAAAATTAAGCATTAAAAAAGTAATATCCATGTCTATAATATATCAACTAGTTTTGTTTTTTCATACTTCTTATTCACATGAGCTCAGGCAATAGAGTAGGATTCCGTATGTCAGCATGTACTTGACAGTCTTTCTGAGTCTGAAGATTCGTAGGATCACACCTTCTCACATAACCTGGGGGATTAAAACGGTAGAATATCTAAGTGCAGTGTGTTTTAGAAGGCTAGCCTATCCTCGGGCTGCAGAGCCTTATGGCATGGGCAGTAATTCTTTCTGGTCATGTTTAGTAATGCTAATTCACCATGATTTTTGTGGATTACTGCATATTCCTTCAAACAAAGATCTTGGAAATTTGTTTCTTTATCTCAAAGTCATTTTGACCGTCACTAGCCACGTGTGGTGATTTATACTCGAAATGTGGCTAGTTGGGTAAGGAACTGAATTTGTAATTGTATTTAAATCTAATCAACTTAAATTTTACTAGCACATGTGGCTAGTGGCCCCTGTATTGGGCAGCAAGACCTAGATTTTCAGATCCTCCCTTTATCGTTAAGCCAGGCCTGTGTCCTTGGCCCTATGCACACAACACACATCCTTATCGTCTTGCCTTCACTTGCCTAGATTATTTTCGCTCCATTCCTTCAATTAATCCAGGTTCTCTTTGGCTTCCACGGGTCAGAGTGAAGCTTACAGCCTCTATGAAATCTTCCCACAATTTTGCCAATCCTCCTTTTCTGGCAATGCCCACTCTATGCTGTTCTAGTTAGGACGCATAAAGGAATGAATGAGTGATTCAGCATGAATGTTGCTACATAGTCATTTGTTGTGTTATAGTTTATTCTATTGTTGTTTTTCATATGATTTACTCCAACCCTCAAGCCAATTTTTCTCTCTTTGAGGATAGGACAGTGGCTTATATAATTTTATATTTCTTCTGGCACCAAGCCAGTGGTGAAGCCCCAGGAAATTCCCATTGAATGCTTTGCTGATTGACAGATTGAGTGCAAAAGAAACACAAATCTGTACCTTTGATTCTCTGTCATGGTTATTCAACTTGGTCAAGAAGTATTTGTGCAGTATTCATGGGATTGATGTGGGTAAACTTTGAGGGCAGGCCATCTTCTTGGATGCAAGGACTAAGACTGGATAAAAAGAAGGGTCATCAGAATGTATGTAAACTATGGTATAAGGTGTGCTGCATTCTAGAGACAGTGGTTAGGGATTGTGAAGATGCTTGGAAAATAGCTGTGAGAAACTCTTCCCTGTGGAAGGAAAACCTTGAAGTGCTGGTCAAAGAATGGAAGTTTATTTCACAGATTCAGACTTTTTGACATTTCGAATGGAAACGAGAGGCAGGAAAGTGGTTTCTTAGAAAAAGACACTTGAAAAAAAGGTTACAGCAGAAGGACCAGGTGTGTGTGATCAACCAAGTGCTTTTTCATCAATATCCTAGTATATTTGCTTTAGGAGCAAGAGTTAGGGCTTTTGGTCATTCACTTTTGAAAAGGTTCTAAAACATAGCAAAGTGCATCCTATTTGCACTGTATATGCAACAATTGAACATCTCTAGAACCAAACTTCTTCATGTGTAATACTAAACTTACAGTTTCCCTCCAAAACTCTACTCTTAAAATATTGTGATAATGCAGATTCTTAGAGAAGGATACTGAATATGGTCAAATTATTACTTTATAATAGTATTTATGCAAGTATATAGTACTATGTACCAGGCACTATTCTTAGTACTTTATTAGCCCGTTTAATTCTTCTAATTACTATGAGTAGATATTTTACAGATGGAGAAAATATAGCATTTGCCTCATTTTACACATATAGCAGGTAAGAGAGATAGAACTAGACCCTAGACAGTCTTACTCAAGAAACTATGCTCCTAACCATTCTACCATGTTGCTTTTTGCTCTGTGGACTCTGTGTAATTAGTGTTCCATTAATTCAGAATTTGTGGCATTTGGAATAAGGGTTGAAGACAATATAAAACGGAAGAGAGGTTTTTTGTGTTTGAGGAAATAGTTTCTATACCTGAAACACTTTAGGAACACCTGTGCATGTGTGAATAACGTACCATGCACAAACTAGTGAGTGCAGCTCTCAGTGAGCAGGTGATGTGTGAGTTCTGTGAAGAAATGGTAACTAATTTCATCATAGTGAAAACATAATACCAAAAATATATAATTTTCCTTCCAATGAGAGGAGAAAATAGTTGGAATACACTTATTATTGTTATTGCACGATGACTTACCCATTTATTTTAATTTTGATGACTTTTTTACTTTGCAGAAATTTCGGAGTGCTTCAGTCGGGGCTGAGGAGTACATGTATGACCAGACATCCAGGTAGGTGACCAGGAGATGCGTCCCTAGAAACTGATTAACTGACAACCCTTTAAGTGTACCTTCCAGTTATACTTTTAAGCCTTTTCTTCTTGCAAACTTTTACATAACAATCTGATTTCCTTTGTCTTCGATTCTTTTCTCTGTACAAATGACTTTGTACATCATTGTTTCCAGTCTTGACCAACTTTCTGGGGCCTATACCTTTTCTTTTTCCTTCTGTCGGCTAGACATTCCTTCTTAGGTGTTCCTCTGAACCCCAGACTCAGGTGCCTCCAACCCAGCAGGTACAACAAAATGGAAGTCTTTATTTTTCTTTTCCTCTTCTTTCCCTCCTCCTCTACTTGTTTCACATCTGTTCTTCTGCTTTTGTTTCCTATTGTGGCTGAGGAGGTACCCACCATCCGAGCCACCCCAGCTAGAGGTATAAGGGTCTGCCTTCCTTCCTGTTGTACTTTTCCAGCACTTCCCAAGTGCTGAATTGTCTGTTCTACCTGTCTTCTCCCTTTCAATTTGCCCTTGTCAACTTTCTCTTGAACTCTTGCGATACAACCAGTCTCTTGCCAACAATTCCTTTTCTCTTCTGTTCTACTTTGCACACGGCTAGCTAGCAGCTGTCATGCTCTCAGGTGCCATCCATGTACCAGCAATGCAAGCAGGATTGGAGATAAGATACCACCTTTCCCTTACAAGAGGTCCAGAGACTGCTGGAGGAGACTGTGTGATGACAGACAAACTACATTTGCTAAATGCTGAGTCCTGTTGTATACAGAGAGACAAAAGAGAACTGAGTGGACCTGTGGGCCTGGGTAGGGCATAGTTTTGGGGGTGTGAGAGGACAGGAGGCAGATCTTCCCAGGACGTGGCATTTGAGCTGGATCTTGAAGTATCAACAGCAGATGTTTTCTAAGAAAAGAAGGAGGATTAAGAACATTTTAGGCCAAGGGGTCATTTTTAAAGACCTTGGTTGTGATCATGCCTAAAGACAAGAGAGAATGGCAAGAAATAAATTTATCCCTCCCTTTACAAAACTCATCAGTGATTTCACTATTTCATCCAGAAATAAACACAAATTCCTTACAAAGATGGCCAGGGCCCTCTATGTTCTGGTCCCTTTTTACTTAAAACCCCACATCCCACCGTGTTTCTTACTCCTTTGCTTTCACTTGTGTAGCCCTTTTCCATTCTCTGTTTCCACTTAAAGTCTTCTGGATCCTGCAAGGTCTTTCTCTAGTCTCAGGCTCCCCAGTCATCCTCCCCTGATCATCCTAATTAGAATTTGGTGTGTGTTGTGGGAGTTGGGAGAGGTAGTGGGAGATGGCAAAGACAGAATTCCTAATCCCTTCTAAATTGAGGAAATACATGTATTGCATGCTGTACATTCAGAGCACCATGTGATCAGCCGTCGGGCCAGTGGAAAAAGTAATGACCTACTAGTCACTGGACCTGGTTTCTCTTTCTGCTGCTGCCGGGATCCTGCAGAGTGAGCGCCTCTCTCAGCCTCTCCTCAGCTGTGAAGGGAGGAAGGTGGGCTGAATCCTGGGTACATGCCCTGTGTTATGGACAGGCCTGGAGACATTAATCCCTGACATAATATAAAAAATCATTTATGTTCATATGTGCCTTTTTCTAGGAAGAGGATTCACAGCTTTCTTCATGTGGTTGTTTTTTTTTTTTCACTTTGTCGCCCAGGCTACAGTGAGTGCCGTGGCGTCAGCCTAGCTCACAGCAACCTCAATCTCCTGGGCTTAAGCAATCCTCCTGCCTCAGCCTCCCAAGTAGCTGGGACTACAGGCATGCGCCACCATGCCCAGCTGATTTTTTCTATATGTATTAGTTGGCCAATTAATTTCTTTCTATTTATAGTAGAGACGGGGTCTCGCTCTTGCTCAGGCTGGTTTTGAACTCCTGACCTTGAGCAATCCGCCCGCCTCGGCCTTCCAGAGTGCTAGGATTACAGGTGTGAGCCACCACGCCCGGCCTTTCTTCATGTTTTTAAAGCAGTCTGTGCCCTGGACAAGGTGCAAACTACTGGTTTAGGTGATTGCTAATATCCTGTCCGGGTCTAAAATGTTGTGATTCAGTGATAGTATATTGAAATTGCTTTTTCAGGCAAAATGACAATGCAATCAGTTCCATCTAGAATGATTTATTTCCCACCTTATTCCAAGACACATAGTCTGGAATTTGCTTGGTTTATTAGCTTAAGCCTGAGACTTTTTTCCCCCCAGAATATTATGGGGGCACAAATGTTTTGGTTGCATGGATTGCTTTTGTACTGCTTGAGTCAAAGTTATAAGTGTGTGCCCATCACCGAGATAGTGTACATTGTACCTGGTAGGTATGATTTCACCCATCCCCTCCTCCCTCTTTTCACCTGCATGATTTCTGCTGAGTTTTGCTTCCATCTATGCACGAGTGCTGATCAGTTAGTTCCAATTTAATAGTGAGTATGTGTGGTGTTTGTTTTTCCATTCTTGCAACACTTCACTTAGGAGAATGGTCTCCAGTTCCATATTGATTGTTGCAAAAGATATCAATTCATTTTTTATAGCTGATTAGTACTCCACGGTATACATATAACACATTTTATTAATTCACTTGAGATTTTTATAATATGAGAAGAATATTATTTTGCCCTTCAAAATATTTTCTCATGATAAAAGTTAAAAAATAAATAAAACATTGTAGAAATATTTAATGTAGAAAGCAAGAGTCTCCCGTAATCCTGTAAGGAGACCATTTTAAGAGACAAAGTTGGACTTGTTTTTGCACTCAACCTTCCAAAGCCTATAAAATGAAAGAGCTAAAAAAAAAAAAAAAAAAAAAAAAGGACCCAATGGAGACTGTCTGATGATTCAGAACATACACAAATGCTTGTTATTGGATCATCACTGTGTGCCATCCTGCAGTGCAGCAGAAATAAATATTCTGAAAGAACATGTTAAACAAAGAAGACTGTGGTTCATGCCTATTGTGTTCATTTCAATTGATGTGTTCTTCAAAGTTGGGAAAAATTAGTGTTTGTGTTTTGAAAATTAAGTAGTATTTTAAAATATTAGGAAACACTTTAGAGCCAGGGATCTCCAAACTTTTTCTACAATGAGCTAGGTAGTAAATAGTTTAGATTTTCATGGACTATAGTCGCTATCACAACTACTCAAACCTGCAGCTGCAGTGTGAAAGCAGTCATAGGAAATACACAAACAAATGAGTATGACTGTGTTCCAATAAAACTTTATTACAAAAACAGGCAATGAGTTGGATTTGGCCCATGAACCATCATTTGCAAACCCCTGATTTAGAACAACCCTGTCATGAATTGTTTTGCAGGTTTAAAAACAACGAACAAAAGACAAAAAAAAAAAAAAATTCCCTGCTAAGGAACGAGATTCTCAGTAGTGAATGTTTGAGTTTTGGGTTTTCACATTTTGAAATGTTTTCAAGTGGAATATGGCTATTTGCAACCTCTTGGTTAGACAAAAAGAAGCTTAGATATATACATGAATTGAACGAAAACATTCATACATTTAGTTTGTTGTTAGCATGAAAGTGGCAAATTCCATCAATGCTTAAGCTTCAGGCACTCCCTAATTGCCAGCTAAGATCTACCAGGGTTTCTCCCGGCACAAACTTAACACAATTGACCAGGCACATCATGGACTTTCTCCCCTTCTAAACCATCTGGTTTATGGGCCACTATTAGAAATGTTGTATATATTGTACTAGCAATGACCTTTGGTCTGGCCTCGTGTCTTTTGCCATATGCTGTGGTTTGTCTCTAAAATAGAGTAAATATTGGTTAATATTTCTATAAAATGCTATTATGAAATTGGTCAGGAAGGCAGAAATGTCCAAGTGAGCGAATCTGACGCACTGTCTGTTTTCTGTTCACAGTGGCACGTTTCAGTACACCCTGGAAGCCACCAAATCTCTCCGTCAGAAGCAGGGGGAGGGCCCCATGACCTACCTCAACAAAGGACAGTTCTATGCTATAACGCTCAGCGAGACCGGAGACAACAAATGCTTCCGACACCCCATCAGCAAAGTCAGGGTACGGCCCGTTTCTCAAATGCAGTACAGACGGGTGAGATGAGGGGAATCGCCACCTCACCACCACGTGGAACGGCATGGCAAAAAATAAATAATTCTAGAACAAATGTCACAGAGTTGGGGCAAGAGAACTTATTGGCTTGTAGTTTATCATTTTAATCAGTAACCAATAAGCCTCAGGGAAGGGACATGGTTGAATCAAGCTTTCTGACTATATGGAAGGAATTTTCCCTGCTTCGTTCACTGCTATGTGCTACTTAGCTGTTGTTTTTAATCAACTGATCTTAATTTTTTAAGTAAGTAGCTATAAGTCAGAACATATCTGTGGGTGAGAAAGAGCCGTTGTTCTATTCAGTAAAGGAAAATGCAATTCATTCCAAGTCCCAGGGCCCTTTGTAACTCGGTTTAAAAGCCTTCTGCAGCCTGCTGCTTTCTCAGGGTTCAAGGGATGAGGCCTGATCCCCACCAGGAGTAAGTTGGAAGAATTTTCAGATTCATGAATATTAGTTCCATTTGTGGGAAGTGAAACTGGAGCCCTAGCTCACCGCTCTGGAAGCCTGCCAGCTTCTGGCATTCTCCACACTGCCAAGAAGGGAGGGAGCTGGTAATCCCTGTCTACTGAAAAGGAAAATTATAGCAGAGCTCTGAAAAGAGCCTGAAGGATTTTCCTGGTCTGTCGTAAAATGATTTGTGCTGCTGCGTCCATGGTGCCCAGCCCACCTTATCTTAGCCACAGCTCACTCCTCTGAAGCTCTTCAGGACATTATGAGAGAAGCACTGTGGGGTGCCCCAGTGCACCCCAGCACTGGTGGGGCTGAGCCCCTGCCGGGAGGAAGGTCCCAGTGTGCTGTGTGCTCACCAGGAGAGTTAGTATGTCCCAACGCTGTGGTCAGGATTGTGGTGGAGAATATGCCATAACAACAACAAGAGTCACAGAATAACAACTAATATCTACTGAGTATCTGCTGTGTGGCAAGCACTGTGTTAGACACCATCCATCTAGTAACTCATTGAAACTAACAACAACCCTATGAAAAAGGCACTATTTTTTTTTTTAAATAATATTACAGAAAAGGAAACTTGAGCTTTTAGAGGCTAGTAACTGGCCAAGTTTACATAGCTAAAATGTCAGGGAACCAGGATATACCCCAGACTGCAGACTCCTGAACCCAAGTCTCTTAAACCATAATGGTGTGCTGTGCTGAGCAGCATGGATGGTGGAAAAGCAGAGAAATGGTAGCCCGGGGTCCCTGTCTGAATGTGCCCTAGAATTGTACCCTACACTCACATGCAGGTGTCAGGTACAAGGTGTCCCCCGCTAGGTCCATAGCCCAGAATTATACCCTACCCCTCATATGTGGGTGTACGGTAAGAAGACACTGAATAAATTTGGTTTAAAAAAAAAAAATCTTGTAAATTCCAAGTAAAGAGTATAACTCACATATACCCTCTTAACAACACCATGGCCATCACCCTGAAAAAATGATGAATGCTTAGTATTCTACAGTCGTGACAACATTTTGGAGTACAGGAACTTTTCCAGGAATCCACTTTGTTGGACTCATGGAAAATAAGTTAATGTGAAGATTTTATTTCCTTATGTTCCATTTTGGCTAAAATGAGGAGTCCCCCTTCTCTGAAGGACTTCAACCTAACACCCTTGGAGACTAAGTGTGACGCCTTTCAGAGTTGGTCTTTATTCTAGGCTCCGGGACGGCAAACCGTCTGGAGGAAAGAGGGATGCCCTTGTGACTTACCTGCATTTATTTCTGAGAATGGTGTTTAATTCCAAGTTGAAGCCTGTAAAGTGTGGTCACAGCAGCTTCACGCTGCTTTTTTCTTTACCACTGAAGAAATAAGTTTCCATACCAAGAATATGTCATCATTTATGCTAATTTAGTCAGCTGCTAGGAAAAAAACCTCACTTTAAATGTTATTTTTATTTGGGGCTAGACATAAACATCCGGAAGCCACACAGTACCTTTTACAATAAAGGGGAAAGCTTGAGGAAGCCCAGAGGGAAGAATGAAGAGCTGGCTGAGCTCATAGCTGCCCCAGTGCAGTGAATGGCCCCGTCACTTGTCCATGCCTCTGAAGATTACGCTGCTGTGGATTTGAATAATATGGATCCACATTTCTAAACTGGTTTTTCTAATAAACATCTGCTTTCTTGTTTAAAAAATTCCAATTATTATCTGGAATATTGCTGGAGGCTACATCAGCAGAAGAGAGAGAGTGTATGTGGTGAATCACTTACTGATTCTCAAAACTTCTGCCCAGAAGCAACACAGGTTATTTTTATATATGTGTTATTGGCCAAAATACATCACCTGGACATACCTAGTTTCAAAACAGGACAGGGAAGTACAGTATTGCCGTTTGCCCGAACATCACTAATGGTTACACCAGCTATACCACCCTCTACCTCTGCTCATCACCATTGTCCCCTAAGGCCTCATTCAGTTGCAAACTGTCTCTTGGGGCTGGAGGTCCCAGGGTTTGAATTAACAGTCGGCCACCAGCGTGTGTTTGCTGTTGTGTCTGTCAGGCGCCCTGGTGAGGCACAGGCACTGGTACTGTCTTTGTCGAGTCTGAAGTTAGTGGGAAGACACTGCCATCGGCTGAATAATCGTGAATAAGTAAATGACTGCAAATGCGTAAACTGCTACAAAGAAGTTCCTAAGGAATGAGAGTCCATGAAATATTCTCCTGGAATAGTAGGAAAGAGTCTAAGAAGTATTTTGGATGTGGAGTAAGAGGAGGAGTATTCCTGATACTCTAATTAAAGGATTTTGGGGGGGCATGGGGATGTTTTGGTACTGTCTCTGTTTCATGAATAACAGGGAATTAATGTGTATTTAGTTTCGGATTTTTTTTTTTTTTTTTTTTTTTTAGGACAGGGTCTCACTCTCCCACCCAGGCTAAGGTGCAGTGGCATGATCACAGCTCACTGCAGCCTTGAACTCCTGAGCATAGACAATCCTCCTGCCTCAGCCTCCCAAGTAGCTGGAACTATAGGTGCACCACCATGCGTAGCTAACTTTTCTTATTTTTTGTAGAGATGGGGGTCTCCTTATGTTACCCAGGCTGGTCTCAGACTTCTAGCCTCAAGCAGTCTTCCTGCTTTGTCCTCCCAAAGTGCTGGGATTACAGGCAAGAGCCACCTAGCCTGGCCTATGTATTTAGTTTAATGAGGCTGTTTGTAATTTAGAACTGAAAAGGATTTGGGCTACTTATTTCTGCAAGATATAATTAGGTTCCCAAGATTCTTTTTACAATACATCCACATTATATTTAAATAGATATCATAGTTGTCCTTGTAATTTTTTGGTGCATGAAATATCTTTAGTTTAGATCTATGTTCATCAACATGAATTTGTCATTTAGTATTTCCCTCTTTTTCTTAGTATTTCTTTCATTATTTCCAATATTCTAACCTGAAGCACTTAATTAGACCAGAAATGGATATTTGTTAAATTCTGCCATATTTGCCAATAGTACCAAATTCTATATTTAAGGATATGAAATTTCAAAAGTGTGCTTATTTTCAATATGAGCAAAAAAAAATTTTTGGTGTTCCCACTGACCTCAAAAATAAAAAATTTGCTGGCAATTGGTTAATTTGCTTGTTCATGACCTCCTGATAAAACTCAAAGAGGATTTTTTCTTCTGTACTGTTTTCATTTACTAATTTTTTTTTTTTTTTCCGTTCTGTTGCCCAGACTAGAGTGCAGTGGCATCAGCCTAGTTCATAGCAACCTCAAACTCCTGGGCCCAAACAATCCTCCTTCCTCAGCCTCCCAGGTAGCTGAGACTACAGGCATGAGCCACCATGCCTCGCTAATTTTTTCTATTTTAGGTGTCCAGCTAATTTCTTTCTAGTAGAAATTTCTCTTTAGTAGAGATGGAGTCTCTTGCTCAGGCTGCTCTTGAACTCCAGACCTCAAGTGATCCTCCTACCTCAGCCTCCCTGAGTGCTAGGATTACAGGCGTGAGCCACCACGCCTGGCCCCTAATCATTTTTTACGTACGTCCATTTTAAAACAAAACAGACCCTACGAGAGAGCTTGTCTGTGCTTTTCTAAAGCCAGAAAAGCAACATAACAGAAAAGCCCTCTTGTAGAACTCCCAGGACTGGAGCCTGAGGCAGCAGAGGCCCTGAGCAGAAAGTAAGCTGCACCATTCTCCTCTCTGCAGAGCGTGGTGATGGTGGTATTCAGCGAAGACAAAAACCGAGATGAGCAGCTCAAATACTGGAAGTACTGGCACTCACGGCAGCATACGGCGAAGCAGAGAGTCCTTGACATTGGTAAGTTGGCCTCGGCCTCCCTGCACAGTCCTTGATAAGCTGACATTTTGCCTCCATGCCAAGGGGAGCCCAGCGCGGTGATCACAGCCAGGAGCCACACGGCTCTCCTGACGTGCCAGGCACTGGCTGAGGCAGCTTTCCTGTGTTAGCACATGCAGTACACATCGGGCTGACAGTGTCAACTGTGTCCCATATAGTTATAGTCATATGTCGAGATTTTCAATGACCTTCTTGGTTTTCAAAACATATTTCCATGCTCTTCATGTTTGAGCAAATAGGCAGTCAGTAGGCCAGATGAACTCTTACTTCTGCAATATGAATTAACTTGAGTTTTTGTGGCCCTAAGGCACTTGGCACTTGGCACTTGACTACACAGTGAGTTTCTAGTTCTCTCCTTGTCCATCCAGTGTTCCTTCCACTCCAGCATATACCCAGCGCAAGGAGTACTAGGTGATCAAGCGAGTGGACCATCAGATGGACCTTCCCTGCCAGTCTGAAGGAGCGAGTCTGCCACATTCATTTCCAGGAGTCTGTACGCTCCTGACCATGATGTGCTCTCTAGAGACCAGTAGCCCCCTGGATGGCGCATCACCCAGGGTCTGGTTGGGAAGGCAGAGCCCATGCCTGGTAGTTCAGTGGAGGGTGTTCATTGCCAAGGCTGGAAAGGCTGAAGGTACAGTGAGGCAATCCAGCTAGTACCTGTAGGGGCTGGAGAGTCAAAGGGAAGAGGGGGTGGGTGTTAGAGGAGCCACCCAGCAGGAGCTGGGACCACAGAGGGAGCCCCAGCTTCCCAATGGGAGGCAGATTCACAGAGGCACTCTCCATGCCAAGAGACAGGAGGAGAAATGGCCTGGCTTCTCCCGACTTCTGGATCTCCTGCCATCGCTTCCCATTGGCAGAGTTTAACCTGAAGCCAGCAGGCACGTGACTCTAGGAAATGAAGTTTGCAGAAATCAACCTCTCAGATACAGAGCAAAGTAGGACCTCCCCTCTCACAGTAAAGAACTTGGAAACTGCACAAATAGATTAGACAGCTGTTTTTGGACATTCAACAATAGATAGCACAGTACTGTGATCCCTCATGACACAGAAACAAAGAGAGTAGTCTCACAGTTGCCCCGACTTTCTGCCTAGCAGCATCTCCCAGACCATGGGTGCAGAAGCAACAACCCAAACAGAGCCCAGTGGCCTCAGTGACTTGAAGACACAGAGACCCGAGTTCAGGGAGGCTGAGTCTACAAGAAGCTGCAGAGAATGTCTCCAAAGAGGAGGGAACTACCCAGAACTACCTACTTCATCTTGCATTCTGCAAAATGAAGTTTGCAGAAATCAACCTCTCAGATACAGAGCAAAGAAAATCAGGGAATGGATCTTAAAGTTTCCAAAAGTTGTCTGGGTGCGGTGGCTCACACCTGTAATCCTAGCACTCTGGGAGGCTCAGGTGGGAGGATTATTTGAGGTCAGGAGTTTGAGACCATCCTGAACAAGAGTGAGACTCTTTCTCTACCAAAAATAGAAAAAATTAGCCATGCATGGTAGCATGCGCCCATAGTTCCAGCTACTCAGGAGGCCGAAGTGGGAGGATCGCTTGAGCCCAGGAGTTTGAGGTTGCTTGAGCTAGGATGATGCCACTGCACTCTACCCCAGGTGGCGACAGAGAGAGATTATATCTCAAAAAAAAAAAAAAGTTTCCAAAAATTATTTTCAAACACAGTGATGCATGTGTTTCTAAATAATTTTACCACTTTATCTACATGCTGTTTCTGCAAGAAATAAGTCATTTCTCATACATAGGCTGTTACCATTTTACACACCAAGAGGCAGCAGTCCCAGTGAGTGCAGGAAAAGTGAAGATTTCTATCATGTTAACTATCAGAATGTATTACTGAGCCATCTAAAAGATGTTTTCCTTGATTTCTTATACCCTGCAATGAAGGTTTTTCAGACTTTCCATTTCACCCTTGCTAGGGCTCCTTGATCAATGGCAGAGCATTTAGTACCTAAGTTAAGGTTATAGATGCACCATAGAACATATTTAAACTATTACTAGTTACTGGTTTGTCCTGCAAAATGGTTAAGCCACTCACAAGCCCCAATCACAGACACACACCCATTCTATTAACTAGTCAAACATATTTATCTAATAAACAAGGAAACTGAAGCCTAGAAAGGCTCACCACCCACCGTGTCAGTGACTTGTCCCAGATAATTAGTGCAAGAGCTGGGATAGGAGCAGTCTTCCCAACCTGGGATGAAAAGTGAACCCCCAGACCGGCTGGGTCCTAATGACCCCCCAGTTGGGAATACTTGCCTTAACTTGCTTCGTAACAAATCTGCATAGAACAGAGAAACAATTTTACTTTATTTGAAAAGTTAGCCTTATAATTATTACCCAAGAAAATGAGAGGGGCAATTAAATAGAAATATGGACCAGGTCCAAATAAGGCAAATAATAAGAGCATTTTACTGGCATACTTGTTGATTCGACTTTGATATTGTTACAGGGTTTACTCTTCTGAGACCCAAGTGATTTTTCAGATTTTGTAAGACTTCAAATCTTATCTTTCTTCTTTAATACCTTCTGGCTGTTTTCAGACTTCTCTTCCTATATACACATGTGAGCACACAGATATGCACATGCATAGACACACTCGCTTCATCTTTGAGATTTGTGACTTTGCTAAGTAGCTTCAAGGGTAGCTGGGCTGCATGCTTTCAACCCAAGACCAAGGCATAAATCAGCCCCTTAGCTTCAAATGGAACATGTATTTTCTGAGCATGGTTTCTATTCCTAACCTCAACCTGACAACCACTCACAAAGTGAGGAAATATGCAAAAATCCCATATAATTCATTCTTTTGCTAGATAAAAAAAAAAAACAAACAATCAGACTATGTGTTCCTCTGCCAGTGGGTTGAACACACCACTTCCTGTATAAAGAAGAGCTGATGCTCCAATAGCACAGATGTCTGTGTGTCACGTGCCACCATCTGCAGTGACTCTGGGGTGTGGTGTTGAGGCCACCACTTGGCTCCACCAGGAGTATTGCAGAGGGTTATCAGCGCCTGCTGAGGGTGAAGGAAGGCAGGCGGCACATGTGCTATACATGTGCCAATTTGGGTTGAGAACCTTCTAATGGTCTAGCCAAGAAAAGGAAGAATCCAAAATTATTTAATGCATTTCTTTTTCAAAACCTCCATTAAGCTGGAGGTTAAAGGCAAGGCTTAAAAGCTGCAGTTTCTGAGTCTGCACCAGCACATATGTTCCCCAAGTTCAACTGACCCAACCAGGTAGTGACCCTGAAGCTAGAGATAGAGACCAAGATGAGGTCCCTTTACATACAAGGGTTCTTAACCAGTGGCTCTTGGAGTCTGTGCATGATGGGCTTTAGAGAACCTCAAATTCCAAATTGTGCACAACACAGTTTTGTGCGTATGGGCATGTGTAATTTTTTCATCTCACTTTCAGAGGTGCCTGGGCCTCCCTCCTGCACCCTGCCTCTCTACCTGCACCTCAAGCCTTCACTCACGGGGCTCTCACCTCTAGTTGTGTTTTTCCTTTGCTCTGCGTCCCCTCAGCACTCACACTTAGGGATGTGCATCATCTCCTGCATCCCATATAGTGATGCCTGGCAAACATTCTGGCATCTTTCCTTACATACACTTATCTTACGTGGACTAGGGGGTCAGTGGTTCTTCGAGGCTGCCCCTCATCTCCTACACCTAATCCTCCGAGCAGCCCCGTGGTGTGCTGGCTGCCCGGGGCAGAGGCCCTCCAGCCTGCCCAGCGGGATTGTGTCTGTGGGTCCACACAAAGAAGAGTGGGATCCTAAAGCCGGGGGCAGAGGGAAGGAGGCCGCTCCTCGCAGGGCTTGGAGCCTTGGCTCTGCAGGCTCCCCAGGAGGCTGTCCCCGCACGGCTGCCCCTCAGCCTGGGATGCCCTTTGGATGGATACTCACACCGCTGTTCCCTCACTTCTTCACAGCCTCATCGGAGAGACCATCCCTGTCACCTAACCTGAATAGCATGCCCTTTCACTTTTCACTTTTCCCTTTATTTTACTTCAGAGCACTCCTCCCCACCCAACATATTATTTGTTTATGTTTCTATTTCTTATTGCTTTCCCTCTCCTACTAGAAGGTGAACGCCACAAGAGCAGAGACATGTCTCTTTTGTTCCCTGCTTTAGCCCTCATGCTTAGCACATGGCCTGAGACATAGTGTTCAGTGCATATTTCATGAGTGAATGAATGAGTGAGTGGAGGTGTGCGTGAGGCTGCCATTAATCTGGCAGGAGGCAGGCCTCTTGAAGGAGTGAGCTGTACCTTAACCACAGCTGCCATTTGCTTACTGCCTCCTACGTCCCAGGCTCTTTAGCTACATCAGACATTGTGTCTTTCATCCTCAAACAACCCGTTTTGTTGTTTACAAGCTGAGATGGCGAGGGGTAAGAATTGTACCCAAGGTCACACACCTGGTAGGTGGTGTAGGTGGGATGGAAACCCTAGAATGCCAGAATTTGCACACTCCCTCCCTTTTTTTTCAATTTGATGCCCTCTTTCAACTGTATGTCGTCTTTGTATCCCACCCCTAGCGGGTTCTTGGCACGCACCAGATGCTGATTCCATGGAGTGACCGATCCTGCAGTATGTGCCTCCTTCTCCAGACCGGGAGGACGTTTTACAGTCTGGGTGGTGGGACTCTTGGCCGCTGCCGGCTCTGACAGTTATGAACGCCAGTTTAGATGTGCAGTTCTTGTGCATTAGGTCATAAACTGTTTGGCAGGAGTTGGATGCAGGGGAAGAAAACATTAGCAATTAGCTCTAACTTGATAATAGTAAACCAAACAAACCCAGGCCCAAGTGCTTTTCAAAACACTCAAGCAAATTTCTCCAAGTCTCACAAGTTCTTTCTTGTAAGCTCCTTGAATAACAACAATTATTCAAAGTCATAAATAAGTTTACATTCTACGGTCCAATGAGCATTCCTATGTCAGTTATAT